ATCCACGACTAAAAACTAAAATCGTTCTCTGTTTAACAGTTTTTCTAAAAACTGAGCTTTCGGCTAACAGGACGCAGCCTTTGACGAGTAAAACTAAACCGAAACCCGCGAATGAATGATTATTTACATTCATTTGTTAACACAGGCAAGTGTGAAAAAATAACCCAAACGGAATGCAAATGTGGAAGGAAGACCTATTTCCAATGAACAATCAATCGATTGAGAACCTGCCGGTTTATTTTTCGAATAGGAAACAGTTTATTGTATTAATCTTACCTTAAGTGATGAAATCTTTCTTCTTCCTCAACCAAGCCGGCAACGAAAGTGTAAGAGACTGGGGAAGCCCGTCTGTTGAGTGCAGTTTTGTTTTGATGCCCGGTATAGAGATGTCTGAGTCTTTTCTCTAAATCTTAAACTTTCGATGTTCAAAAGAAATTCTCGGAAATCGAAAGTGCAGAGTAAACAGTTTCTTTCTAGAAGTTATCTTATAGGCTTTGTTTTCGGCTGCGATCCTGTAGACACATGCTCCTCCCCCCATCATAGCCAACGTACTTGACTTGCAGCTGTCAGATGTTTGTTGTTTTTCTCTTGCAAAACATTGTGAACGCGCTTTTTTTTTTAATTCAAGAAGACTGCCATGGTCTGGTATTTCTCAGTTAAATTATGATAACTTGCACATGTGTTCAATTGCAAAGTGAACAGGAGAACAGAAAGAACAGGAAGCATGTCATAACCTGATCTCATAATATCAGATGCAATGTCAATGGACTCTATTTCCTAGAAACTTCCTCGTGCTTTCTAAGAATCGAGACTGCTACTTCCTATTTGTTCCTCTTCGAAAAAAAACTTTAATTGCAAGAATCTACGGCTTTTTTTACAATCACTGTTTGATTTCTCACGAGCTGATTGGCTCATTTTTATCATCAGTAAGAGTAGACGGATAAAATTTTAATTTCTGCAAGCTTTTAAGTTCAACTTTCAGCTGTCAAACTGTCAACTTTTTAGCCAATGAGATTTTATGGACTTTTTTAAGTAGCCAATGAAACAGCGAGAAAAGCTATTGACAATGCTTGCGTCATTTTGAATAAAATTCACTTATCTTTGTTTACGGCAAGTTTACGGCGTCTTTTCCCCTCATTTAATCCTGGCATTTGACCATTTTGGGGTCTTGTTATTGTAAAAAACAAATTGACGTCAGTTTTTTTTTTATGCGTCTGTCCTCTTATTGATGATAAATTTCGTCATAACATTGTCAAAGTTTACTGCGGAACCGCTCGCTTGCGGCTCGTGGTTCCACAGCCACTTTGACATTGTTATGACGCAATTCATCACCAATGAGAGGACAGACGCATAAAAAACTGACGTCAATTTGTTAAATCGAAAGAACACTTTCCAGCATGATATCCTAACAGCAGTAACAACAAGCTAAAGGACAGAGCTGTACAGCTGTACAAATGATCCCCATACTGCAAATGATCCCCAAATTGTACCGCAAATTATCCCAGGGGCCCTTTTCTCGAAGGTCCCGAAAAGTTTTCGTACCCGGAAAGCCATAACAAAATCTCGAGCCTTATGATTACAGAGCTGTCTTATTCACAAATTCTTAATATGACTAGAGGTTCCCTGCATGCAAGAAGTTTCAGAAGTATACACTTCTCCGTTTATAGATACAGACGAACTAAAAATGGCTTTACGTGCCCGAAAAGTTTCCGGGGCTTTCAAGAAACGGGCCCCAGGGCCGGATTCATTTGTAAACGCAGCCATGTGTAAAAAAAATAACCGAAAGTGGAAGAAAGGAAGGAACGATCAATCGACTGGGAACCTGCCTGTTTATTTCTCGAATAGCAATCAGTTTACGGTGTTTATCTTACCTTAAGTGATGAAATCTTTCTTCTTCTTCTTCTTCTTCTTCAACCAAGTCGGCAACACAGATGAGGACTTAACCGGTAAACGAAAGTATTAGAGACTGGAGAAGCCCCGTGTGTTGAGTGCAGTTTTGTTTTGATGCCCAAACTAGTCATAAAAGGGAAATATGTCCAAAACCGCCGGCTAGGCTTGACAAATGGGAAACCAGAAACTGCAAGGGACCGCATCCGATAAACGCTGCCAACGTAGGATCTACAAATTGACAAATGGGCATAAACTCGTATAGCTTCACCGGTATACAGGCGTCTGCATCTCTTCTCTAAATATTAAGCTTTCGATGTTCAAGCGAAATTCTCGGAAATCGAAAGTGCGGAGTAAACAGTTTCTTTATAAAAGTAATCTTATAATTATAGGCTTTCTTTTCGGCTGTGACCCTGCAGACACATGCTCCTTCCCCCATCATAGCCAACGTACTTGACTTGCAACTGTCAGATGTTTGTTGGTTTACTCTTGCAGTAGCAGTCTCGATTCCTAGAAATCGAGACTGCTGTGTATTTCTCAGTTAAATTATGATATCTTGCACATGTGTTCAATTGCAAAGTGAACAGGAGAACAGACAGAACAAGAAGCATGTCATAACCTGACCTCATAATATCAGATGCAATGTCAAAAGACTATTTCCTAGAAACTTGCTCGTATTTTCTAGGAATCGAGACTGCTACTTCCTACTTGTTCCTCTTCGGGGGGAATCGATAGCTTTATCGAAAAAACATTTCTAGCATAATATCCTAACAACAGTAACAACAAGCTAAAGGACAAAGCAGTATTGGAGAAAGGCGTGAAAAGAACGCTCACATTGCAAGAGTTTAATTTTCGTTTCAAGATTTCCAGTCTTTCAAATTTATTTTTATACGGGGATTCCCCACATTTCAGTTTCAGTTCAGAACTACAAATATTCAAAGAAGGTGTCAGAATCTAGTGCACTGTCTTGAAAACACACAGTGAAGTGCATTCCTGGCATTCTTCTGCCTGTGTTATTAACCCAACGCTAACTGTTTCCCTCGTCTATTTACAAAGGAGGATATACATAAACGACAAGGGCGAGAGCCCTCAGATAAATATCACGGCCAATATTAGAACTCTATATTCCTTAGAAGCCGCCGGAAGACACCTAAATGTACGACGCCATCTTCCTTGTGTCGGAATTGGAGTCGTTTCGGCAGACTTAAAAGTGATTGTCTCGATCAGGGCCCTCTGTTATTCTTCATTGCAGGTTTGAATTCATCGGGTTGACTTTCGACTTGGCTACGCGAGCATTTCGCTTCACTGGAATTTTGGAACTGTGCACCATAAGCGATATTTCAGCACTTCATTTTGGGTAATCAGGAAATCGTAATGGAAAGAATACTTTTCACTGACGAATCGCTGACCCTTTGAGACCTATTTACAGGACAGACCAGGCACAGCATTAAAACGTATTAGAACGCTTCTGGCTCCACATTGATCGTCAGACATAGTTTATTGATTTCCGCCACCCTTCTAGAACTGTGCACTGTGCTTTTTTGGAAAAAGTGGAAATATGTCTTTATTCTTAAGTTACCAACTGTGGAAGAGTGAAAATTTGGAAATGTGTCTTGAATACTTAAGTTACCAGCTGTGGAAGTATAAAAATGTAGAAATGGTTCTTGAATACTTAAGCAACTAACTGAGGAAATCTGGAAATCTGGAAATGTGTCTTGAATATTTAAGGTACCAATCATGGAAGTGAACTAACTGTGGAAGTATGGAAATCTGGAAATGTTTCTTGAATACTTAAGTAACTAACTGTGGAAGCGTGGAAATCTGAAAATGTTTCTTGACGACATAAGGAACCAAATATGGAAGTGTGGAAATGTGGTGAAATTGTGGAAATGTCTCCAATACTTTAGTTACCAACCGTGGAAGTGTAAAAATGTAGAAATGTTTCGTGAATACTTTAGAACCTAATTGTGGAACCTGGAATTGTGGCTTAAATACTTAAGGAACCAACTGTGTAAATTTGGAGGTGTGTCTTACCCCCCATAAGCACCCGACACAGTTTACATATTCTTCAATGACATCCTGATGATGAAATAAGCAATTCATACAAATCAAGAAAATATAAACATTTATTTTGGTTTTTTTTACAGACATTTATTTTTTTTAAACGAGAAACGCGCATTTGGATCATCACTCTTCGAGTGTTTAGCCTCGAAAGGTCCACAGCAGGAGCTTTTGCGGTACCTTTTAGGGTATTGAGCTGAAAAAAATATGACAGGAGAGGCAGGAGATAAAATGTGTTGTTTCAGAATTGGTACCTCTTAAGGTGAATTAAAATTTCAAGCCACGCCCACAAAACAGGATCTTGGTATCTCTTAGGGGTTCTTTTCAAAATTTCCGACGAGCACCTCGGTCCTTATCCCCACAGGGATAAAATCTTCTCTTCGGAAGTTGTGTTTTTTTTGTATTTTAGAGTTGTTTGATAGACTGAATGCCGCAAACCCCTTGATAGAATAACTCCCTTTTCCGATGATAAAAAAGTATATCTAATAACAAATGACTGTGTTGCAAATGTGTGGTTGCATATTCTCTGATCATCAGTTGCCGTAGCAATATAATATCATGTGCTGATTACGATTGAGGCAGAAATTGAAACA